TATAATAATAAAATTTAAGCGAATCTGACCACTATTAAAGATGTATTGTCTATAATAAATTTGATCACCCATGACGAACTTTTAAAGTATAACAAAAATGTCCAAGAAATACACAGAAATTAAAACCCAGGTTAATGTTTTTTTCTTAAAGATACTTTAAGAACTTAAATTTCTGTATAGAGCAACTAACCCATCAATTGCATGGTAAAAAAAAAGACTATCTGCATTGATCCTTTAAATAGCTTTATCGCACTATATAATCAAAATTAAAACTGATAGTTGTTTAAATTATTATACTATGTTTGAATTATTTCTGGTTATAATAAATTTTATTTTCAGAATTTGGTAGGTTGAGCCGGCCAGGTGGCCGAGCGGTTAGCGTGCCTGACTGCGGAGCCAGTGGCTGCGGGTTCGAATCCCGCTCTGGGCATGGATGTTTCTTTCTCTCTATCTGTGTTCTATGTCCTTTCTCCTTTGTGTGTGAATGAGACCCGCCCTACAAACGGGTTGTGGTAGTGTGACGTGGGCGACGCTGCTCCACCGCCGTGGCTTCGCCACAAGTGCCCACTGGGTAACGAAAAGAGAGTTAGCAGTTCTGGCACTTTCTGTGGCCANAAAAAAAAAAAAAAAAAAAAAAAAAAAAAAAAAAAAAAAAAAAAAAAAAAAAATTAGAATTTGGTAGGTTGATAGGTAGGAACCCTATTTACGTCGCACTAGAGCTGCTCAATGAGCTATTGGCGACGGTCTGGGAAAAATTCCTGAGGGAGACATGCCATCGCAATTTTGATCTACTGTAGAGGGGATGGCTCCCCTCCTGTAGTTGCCCGGCGATCTGCAGGCGAATTCGAGCACTTTACAGTAGAACAATTTAAAAAGGACCGATATCGCGCACCTTCGGTCCCTACGAAGGCTGATCAAAGTGGTCCCCCACCCGCTTACTGACAGCAGTCAGTGAGGCTTGAATTTGGTGTTCTACTGGGCACCGTATATTTACGATCAGTCCATGCGGGACTACAGAAATTCGAATACCTACAGAAGTAAAAATTTAATCTACTTTCATTTGACAAACTTCACATAATTCCTGTGTGTAGTTTCCTAATTTTAACTATGAAAACTATGGAAAACCATGCTTTGCAATGAGAAAAGTATTTCCAGAAATATGTTTTGGGCTGTAATGTTTAATAATTTCTTGAATAATTTTGATTCATAAGATAATATTATTAATTTACTAAGATAATAATATTTACCCAAAAAAAGTAGAGTTAGCCATTGTTGATGCATTTAAAATCTAAAATAACAATTACTGACAGATAAACACAGTATTTTTAACGACACCATAATAGACATTTCATCTCTAACTACTCTCAGCAAAATGTAGTATGCACAATGACATATGTTGCACATGCGCAGCAAAAGCTTACAAAAACAGAAATGAAATTTTAGAGATTCGTGTTATTCATTTTTTTTAAAAAATTATGTTTTGATTTATCCTTTAAAAATTTTATTCCTATCTAAATTAGAAAGCGAGATAAGTTTTGTTTTTTTCTTCCTTTAAACTTCACGTGCTAAAAGTTTTTTTTTTCTGTCCTTCTTTTCTTGTAATTCATTCTTTTTCTCGCATTTTTCAACTTCGAAACGATTTGATACAAAATCTATGAAAGAGGATTCCTACGTGAGAATAAGAAATGTGTAATTTTAAAATCTTTTTAAAATGTAAACAGCAAAAAAGACCGAAGTTAAATAAATAAAGTCAAATGCATGATTATCAAATGCATGGTTACATCAAAAATTAAAAGCATATGTTTTTTTGAAGTTCTTAAACTTTAATTTCCTCTTAAAATTGACTCGAAGATTTTTAAAACAAATTTTGTGTCTTAGTGTAGGAAAGACACAAAATTTTTTAAAAAATATGTGCATTTTTAAATAAATTTCAAAAATGAGTCTTAATTCCCCTTTAAGGTGTTACTTTAAATAAGTATAAAGTAGCTCCAGAATTATTTCAATATTTGCATAGTTTACGAGTCTCTCAAACAGGCACAATATTAGAAGGGTCATCGTTTTTCCACAGTAAGAAGGACAAATAATACAGGGAAGGAAAGAACATCCATGCCTCTGATCGAGATTAGAACCCGGGAACTTTCTGACAAAACACAATGGGCCAGCATCCAAGATTTCGTGGCCAAAATTAGTATTTCGATAAAATTTGTTTCAAAATTTGTATTTAGGGTTTTTTTATGTGCAGGTAAATTGAATTCATAGTTGAAATTTTTAAATGCACTAAAAATATCAAAAAAACAAACAAAATGGCGGCTGAAATATGGCAAGCAAAAATAAAAATATATTTTGGTACGCTTAAATAATTAAATATAGCAATGAAAATATAATAATTTTCGTAATTTTATATTAAAAATGAAAAGCAAATTATATTTCCGAAGTAATATTACAAAATAACGCGAAAGCATGAAAAAAACATAATTTACGGGCTAAATGGGGCAGGTTTTTTCGAAAAAAGAAACATCCAAGAAGACAACAAAAAAAAGTTTAGTTAATTACCTCGTGGAACTTTTTGGGACTAATTTTCGAAAGTCATTGTAAAATGTCAAATGATAAGATACAAACTATAAGTTTGTCAAGAGTATTAACTAATCCAACAAGCTGAAAAATTGTACTATAATTTAACACTAATTACTCTGATAAAAATGCAACAGTAAGGTGAAAATCCTATATATGTTTCTGAAATAAAAATTTAAAAGTTACATTTAAAAAATTTTTTTAACATTTTTCATAAAATTGTACTCTCGTCGGTCCAAAAAGTAAATTATAATGCTTGGAATGATTATGAATACTTATTTTGGGATATATTAAAACTGCCTACGCATACTTTAGTTGAAAAATTCATTTTTTACTTTTGGTCAAAGATTATAGTCTTCTGGCCGACAGTGCAAAAGGACAATTCTTTGACCACCATGAGCTTTATGAATGTGTTATATAAACTTACTAAAAAAAGGGTGGTTTGTATTTTTTATTTTGAAGATCCCTCGTAGCAGTAATTGTGATCGAACAATAAGTAAAATATTTCTGCCTAGAATCTCTAGACTGTGATTCCTGACAGTGTAAACATCTGCGCGTGAGTTGCAAACAGCTAACTTAAGCAGATGTTTAACAGAAAAGTAAAAAGAACTTCCCCTTTTTCCCGCTACTTGTAAAGAAACACTGAATGCTCTTCTTTGAATCATTATTCATTTTCCCCTGCTTCTAACCAATGACAATCTTCGTTGGCGAGGCATGCTCCAACTTCGAATTTTCTTGAGAAGCCCTGTTCCAAAAGCTTTTACAGAGGAGTCAAGATTTGACAGCTGCCGCGCCTCACCTCTTGAAGCGAACTCTTTCTTGCTATCACGCCCCTGCGAACTTTTATAAGAAACGCCCTGCACATAACTAAAATTTAAATTATACCTGCTTTAACACGCAAGAATTGTGAGTTTGAAATTCTGGATATTACCCAAATTTATGTTTCCAAAATATACTGCAAACGATTCTTATATATTGCAGAAGCAAATGTTCAATTCTTCCTTCGTTTCGTTCTTTTGAAATTTTAGTGACAGGACAGTAAAGAAATAAAGTATCTGTATTAAATGCGCGGAAATTGTTATTAAATTGAGATTCTAGATAAAACCAAATTTTATCTTTGCTAATGCTGCAAACGATTCTTATAACTAACAAAAATCTAAATCTCTGTTCCTTTTTCGCTTTGTTTTGTTTCATTGAAATTATAAAAACAGACGTTCAATAAATGTTTAAAGTTCATTTAAAAAAAAATTGTAAATTAATTTTTTTTAATAAATTTTCTATCGAGTAGCGTTGAATTAAATGAGAATATTTAGTAACAAACGAGTGCGATGTGTTTTCAGAATTAAAAATTAATAAAATGTTCGATGGACTTTTACTAGAAATTAGTTTCTTCTTCTTTTTTTTTTTTTTTTTTTTTTTTTTTTTTTTTTTTTTTTTTTGTATTATTTTTATTTCCAAACACTCGTCTCAATTTTTTTCCAAATACGTAATCTTTTTGCTATTCATTGATACAAAATTATGGGTAACTTGAAAACAATAAATTCTGAAATTTTAAAAAATTTGATAAAAGTTTATACCTCAAATGATATAAATAAATAAATAAAACAAGAAATTGAAAACTTTCTTTGCTATCAGAAATACTCAATGAATTATCCTTGATGAGTGTTTCTGATTGTAACCCTAAAACAACTTTCAAATGATGCAAATAAATAAGCAAATTAATTGATAACGAATTTACGTAAATAGTAGGCAAAAGTCTAGATATATATTTTTCAGAAAATGAAGATACATTAAATATGTAAAACCGAATTGAATTAAAATATTATTAGATATGCTCAGCACACTTATATTTTTGTCTAACATCTAATAAATAGGCAAAACAAAGATTAACAAATTTGCCTATACATTAGATTTAAATTATTATATCTTTTAAATAAAAATAAATAAGCGAAACAAAAATTAACAAATTTACCTATGTATTATATGAAAATCAACGCAAATTATAAAAATAAAGACTTACAAATTTATTAATTATTAAATATACTCACTATATACATAATTCAAAAGATAAAAATAAATAAGCAAAAAAAAAAAAAAAATTGACTACAAAGTATCAAATAAGTTAGCAAAGTTAACTACAAAGTATCATATAAGTTAGCATAAATCTTGCAAAAGATAAAAGTAAATAGTCAAAATCAAAGTCGGTTTTATTTCAAACACTGCAAATAAATAAGCTAAGCAAAATCACCTTACTACTATCTTTCAAAAGATAAAAATGAATAGGCTTACGATAAACTAAGAAATTTACCTTATCAAAGCTGATACATATCTTACAAAAGATAAAAATAAATACTAAAATAGGCAAAATAAAAATTAACTAATTTAATTTAGTATAAGGTATATATTTGAAGCGATGTCAATAAATTGGCAAATAAAAAGTTCAAACGATTTGTTAAGAAAGTCACTTTAATATTAAGGAAATATCTTTCAAAAGATAACAAGATAAAAAGTAGGAGAAGAAACTCGGCTAAACGATTTCTTTTTACCCAATCCCATCTCTCCTCCTGAACTCTTTAACACCATTGATTTCAAGCAGCGCGAAAAAGTGCGAAAATCGGCCGCCGAAATCCTTCTTTAGAAACACCTGTTGGCGAAAATTAGCGATGCGGGTATTAAGACACGTTTAATGTCAACGTTCCCCGCCGATTGAACGACATCGAGTTGAGCTTAGCGTAAAATCCATTCGAATTTCGAAGAAGGAAAAAAATAAAAAGAATTTCAGTCTCGGGAAAGAGGGGGCTTGAAAAAAGAGGGGGAGGGTTGAAAATCACTTTTCGGAGGCCCGAAACTTGTCACTGAAGAAAACCCCACTCGGAAAACTCTGGGCATCTAAATGGCTTGCCCGAAGCTCCCGAACTCCGCCTCAGTCGAAACTTGATTGGTCGAGAGGTAGAGTCACGTGCTTCATTTAACTCCCATATTTCTGTCAAGCTCGGTTGTGATGATTTACCGTCCGTTTATTTTCTGATTTATCTCCTAGCAAGACAGCTAATTTGGAAAAAGGCCTCTTTTACGGACTCCTTTTTGGAAAAGAGGTACAGAATAAGCCCCTTTATTTTTTTCTAGACATAAAAGTGGAAAAGAAGTTAAACTGCTGTTCGGAGTAGTTGATTATGAATTCGAATGTCGTGTACGCCTCCGTCTGCCGTAACGGAGGGGACGCGACTGCTTATGGGACGGCCGGTAATGCTACGACGCAACAGCCGCTTTACAATGGTGGCTCTACCGCAACAACAGCGAGTGGTGGAGAAACTATTTCTGCCTATTACTATCATCAACAAACTCCCGAAAGACTTATACAACCTGCAGGACCTTCCTATTTACCAACTACACTAATGACCCCTTATTCTAGCGCACCGGAACTCCGGACACCCCCTCTCCACCCTGAAGCAACAAATGGTCATCCGACCCCCCATCAGATTATTAGTGAAAGTAATGGACTCAGTTACACTAATCTAGATCAATCCCACTTTCATCAACAACAGCAGCAACATCACCAAAGAATAGGACCTTTTCATCACCATTCACCTTATAGTGCCGATGTACCACCCCGTAATACAACCTACCACCATCCCTACCGAAACCTGGACTACTCTTACGAAATCGGGACTCATCAACCTGCCGACCAAGTGGTCCCTATAAGTCCCGAAGGAGCTCGGGTTGTCACGGGTTTTGTACCACCTACCACTTATCCTTATTTAGACTCTTTAAATTTATCAAGAAGGAATGGTTATGGTGGTTATGAAAATTATGATCCGGCTTTAAGAGAAAGTTGTCAAATGAATGGAGGATACCAGTACCCTATACACAGGACTCGAGTAACTACAGCTCAAGCATCACCAGTACCCACATATAAGTGGATGCAAGTAAAACGAAGTGTTCCCAAGCCTCGTAAGTACCTTTTTCATTTATCTTGTCACTTTAACGAAATGAAAGAAAAAAAATTTAAAAATTCGAACATATACATAGTTTTACAAATAAGTTTGACGTAAATAAACATCTTTTGTTAACTTGAAAGCAAAACTTGTTTATTTGTATCAAATTAACAAACAATTTTAAATCTATATATAATCGAAATTTCTCTAAATTTCTCAAAGGAATGAAAATGTTTACCGAGATAAGATTTTCGATTTTTTTTTAAAAAGATTTTGATTTTCTAATAAATTTAATGATTCTTAAATTTTAACTATACTTTTCAAATGTTTACAGCTATGATAACCGTCAAATTAAGTCCTAACTGAAGAAGAAAAGTATAAACTCACAAAATTATATATATATTTGCACTGTTTTATAATATATATGCGACCTTACTTTTAGTGGGCTCCAAAAGTTCCACAGATTCTCTTAAACTGGTAGCAGCAAAATTTATGTTATAAAATATAATCCTTGTATTTAAAAATTGATTGATCAACACAAAGGTTTGGAAATTTATTACTTACATAGAAATATGATACATGCTAGATGAATAGTTAGTAAATTAATGTGGTAGCAAAGTTGGGAAAACTTCCAATTGCTTTGATGAGTAGTTTGCTGCCACTTTATTTTTGGAAAACTTTTGGGAGCCCTTGTTTTATTTTTGATCACAGATCGGAAAACAATATTTTAGGAAGGAGAGATAAATATTTTAAACAAAAATCGCCTCCTCAAAAAGTTTGTAATAAGCAAAAACAAATGAAATATTTTAATGAATTATAGCAAATTATCTCATTTTGTTTCAACATTTATAAACCAGAATTAAGCATTATTATGCATTATGCAATATTTGAAAAAAAATTGTGAATATAAAATAAAACTCTTTCTTTTAATCTGTTATAGAAACAGATTAAATTAAATCCTTCTTCATTCATATAAGACTCTATAAATAAATTCAATCACAGAGCTTCATTTTTTCGGTTAATTACATATAGAGTAATGATGCTAATAATCAATTTTTTATGGTTCGAAAAAATTTAATGACACAGATTTTAAGTAGTTCTGTGTAAACTATAACATTTTAAATTACTTCTTTATTTTTTTTGTTAACTAGTGGCTTAATACCATAAATTTTTATGAACTTAGAATACAAACTATAAACATAACAAATATTTTTTTTTCTCTTGTGTTTTTAGAAAAAAAATCAACATTTTAGATGCCTATATATATATATATTATAAGCATACAATACTTGCAATAATATTTATTTCAGAAATTCCTATGTCCCTATCTTTTTTTAAATAAATATTTCGTCTAAGTAGCTTATCCATATTCTTCTTTCTATTTGTTACTTGCAAGAAAATATATTATAATTCGTAACGTAAACACTATTATTATTCGTTACTTAAATAACAGTAATTTCGAATTGAAGGTGTTTCTGTACGTGATTCGAAGGATGAATTTCATTTTTAACAATGCGAATTCTATGTCCTTGAACTTTGGTCCAACTTTTTTTTTTAAATGAAATTATTATGTTTAAATAATACGGCAAAAGCTTCTGTCCATACTTAATTGCTCAGAAAGTTAATATTTTTTTCTTTGAATTTTAGACATTTTGAAGCGCATTTTACCTTAATATTGTTACAATTTATTGCAGCTTTATGGTAATAAATTAAACCATAGCTTAAAATTTAACACCTTAAAGTTGATTTTACAATACTACGGTTCAACTAAAATGGAAACATGGTAAAATTTAACAACTTATTAGATTGAACATAGATTTGCACCGATTATGGATCAACGTTTAAAGAAATTTTTAAGAGTTTACTTGACTTGCCACTAATAAATAAGAGTAATTTGTAATTAAATTAATAAGTAAAAGTAATTTGTAAAAAAATTAATTAGTAAAGGTAACTTGTAAGGAAATTAATAAATAAAACTAACCTGTAAAGAAATTAATAAATAAAACTAACAAGTAAAAACTTTAAAATTAAATTAATTAATTAAAATAATTTGTAAAGAAATTAATTTCTATCAAATTAAAAGTAATTTCCAGCAAAAATATACCATTTATATGTTTATTCTATAATAAGCAATGCACTTATACCAGTTTATTTACATATCTAAACATTAAACCATTCAGGAAAATATTAATGATTATAGATGATTAAATTATTATAGATGAATTTCATAAATTGAAATAAAAATTTGAAATGGTCTTATTAACAATTATAAAATTTTTATAATAAAATTCGATGATTTTTGTTTAGAAAGAAACTAAGATTATCAAAAGAAAAAATTTCGAATTTATTGTTTACTTCCAATAATTTTGTTTGTTCTTCATTCATTACGGTCTCCAATAAAAATTTACGAAATTATATTTATTATAACTGCGCAAATATATAATTCATTTTTTCATGAGAAAAAATATAGCTTTTCTGTCAGTATAATGAAAAAATTGTCCGTAATGAATTCAAGAGTAAAAGACTAAGTAAATATAGAGTACATAGTCAGGCGCTGTCAGCTTTCTACTCTTTTGAAAAATTTATTCCAGTGGAAGCTATAGTTATGTTTTAATGTATTAATTTTTATTCATTTAAACTTATTTTCCGCACTACTACATACAAAAGATTTAAAAGTTCATATGCAAAGCCACTTTGTTCCAGCTCTCACGCTGTGAAGCTTTTAAAGTGCTGGCAAAATGATAAACATTTCTGAAAGCTTTGGTTTATAAATGTTTACCACGCCATAAAATATTTCGAAAAAAGGGTATTAGTTGGCTGGCCTGTATAGTGTAAATGAGTTAAAAGTAAAATTCAAGAATAAATTGTTTATAAGAGTTTATTAAAACTAAATGCCCATCTGACGCAGTAATAAACTACAAAAAGAAAAATTAATAAATAAATAACTTTCTAAGAGTTGGAAAAATTTGTAAAATCAGGTGTACTTACTTGCAAAATATTTCATTGAGTGGTAAGAAATTAAAAACGAAAGCTTTCAGAATATTTTAAAAGCTGCACCTTCTTAGAGCTGAGACAAAATAGCGATACATATAAACTTTTGAAATATTTACATGTAATGGTATGGAAAATAAATCAAATTTAGAAAACAAGGAATAATATGTTAAATCATGAACTAGAAGAAGAAATTTTCCCAAACAGCGTAGAAAGTTGGCAGCTTTGTATTAGCATTTTTTCTGATGCTTTGGGGGGGTTAGTTTAGAAAAAATATGTCAAAAGTTTAACTTATTGAGAAAACATATATTATTTTCACGTTTTAAGAATGTGAGTTGTTCAATAATTTTTTTGAGTCAGCTTTCTAAACAGAACGAAAAAAAAAAACTGGTAATTGAAAATTGTTTCTTGCTAATTTCGTCAATTAATTAATATAGTTAAGAAATATAAAACCTTCGACCGAATTATTAGCACTAAAGAGTTTTCTGGTGAGAAAGCATATTTTGCATGAACATTATTAATCTTCAACATTAAAGAAAGAAAAGATAAATAACATCATGTCATAATTATTTTCTCTCATTATATTTAAAATATAATATGTATACATATTTTTCAAATGTTATATTAAAAATTAACCATTGAAACCAGAGATGAAATTAGGCACCGAAATAGTGAATGAAGAGGTCAAATTTCTTTTCATTAATATTCAGCTTCTCAATTTTTTAATTCATTCTTCATTACTATCAGATAATTACATCATTTGAGTCGAAATCCTGCTGGACATTTGTTTTTAATAATAAACAGTAAAGAAATAAGTTTACAAAAAAATTCTTAGTCTTTTTTTTCATTGTTTTTTGTTGGTCACCACAATTTGCATTTTTAACTGGCAAAATATTGTTCATGTTCTTTTAATTCAATTTCCTGTTTCATAAAAACAATTTGTGAATGCATACAAATTTAAGAAGAAAAAAAATGGACTTAAATTTTATTTCAGGATATCGAAAATTATCTTGACCTTTATCTTTTATTCCAAATTTGATGATTTTGGCAAAATATGCTTTGAAAATGAAATTTCTACAAACACGTTGGAATTATGAAAGACTAAAAAAACTAATCATAATAATTAAAATCATTAAAGGAAACTTTTACTTGATATTTTCGTCTATGGTAGATTCCCTACAGTTGATAAAAATGGTTCTGACCTCATAGATATGTTGTAGCCTGATAAAAAAAAATAAAAAAGTAATAAAAAAAACTTCTGACCTCATCACAAATGACTACCGATAAAATTTTCCATTGGAACGGATGCAAGCATCAGAAAGAATTTAAAAAAAAAAATTTTAATTTCAAATCAGTATTTTTTTATATGAATTTTCGTAGTTTTAAATCTTGTATGCTTAAATTTTTGATAGATTACTTATTTATAAAATTATAAGAGGAAATGTCTATGAAAGATTCCTTAATTTAAACAATTATAAAACGAAACAAATTTAAATACAATACTTAATTGATAAAAATCATTATATATATGCATAAATATGAAATATTTGATGCAGAGATGCCAACTGCTCCGGATACGCCATAATAATTTTAAAAACGGTAAATAACTACAATCGCAAAAATTTGACTAATATGGCTTACTTTTTAAGAGGTTTAACATGATTTACTGCTTTGCTTTATTTAAAAAGAACTGGGCACCTGGGCCGCGCAGCGGCCCCTATCCCGTGACATATATACATTGTGTTTAAAAACATTTTGAAATTTTGCTACATTGTGGTTCATGATTTACTGTTATAAAGTGGTGAATATATAAACCTACGAGTTATTTAGAAACAGTGGTGGATAACAATCTAATAAATTGAATTTATTAAACAAAGAATCACAATTAATAAACTACCACTCGGTAATCTTTATTCGCTGTCCGGAACAAGTTGGCATCTCTGTTGATGAGATTTTAAGTATTATGTTGATTTTGTAGTTTCATTTTTTATAGATATGTTAATGATAAATGAATAAATGCAAATT